TATATGCAAAGCAATAAATTCCATTTCTGGTAGAAAGCAAAGAAATGGGCTGGGGATGTAGTTTAATGGCAGACTGGTTGACTAGGATGCACAAGGCCCTTGGATTTAATTCCTACACTCTCAAAGAAAGAGGAGGAGCTGGGGAGGGGAAGAGAAAGAAAGAAACGAACCTGGTGTGAGTTGTAATTACTGTCAGGAACACGGTGTGGTGTAGTGGGGTGGAGAGATGGTCAGAGGTTAAGAGCACTGACTGCTCTTCTAGAGGACCAAGGTTCAATAACTAGGTCCCACATGACAGCTCACAACTGCCTGTAACTCCAAGATCTGACACCCTCATAACATACAAAGAGAAGAACATTCGCCATCAAATGACCTCTCTCACAAGGATGAGTTTTATGGCTTAGAAGCAATGCTCAAGTTTTAGGGGGAAACGGTCTGGGATAAGTAAAACATAAATTCTGGAAGGTATGGCAGAGCCTGGTTCACTAGACAGCAAAGCATCACCAGATTGTAGACTACATCAATAACTAGCATTCCAGGAGGAGGACAGGTTAAATAAGTTTCCTTTGAAAGATGCTTGTGAGTATTAACTTTCCTGGTTTCTCCAGGGGTTACTTGTGCTTACACGCACTTTATGCCCTGTATACCAGTATGTTTGTTTACCATGTGTGTGCCTGGTGCAGGTGGAATCCAGAAGAGGGCGTCATATCCTGTGGAACTGGAGTTGCAGATAGTTGGGAGCAGTCATGTGGGTACTAGGAATAGAATCTAGGTCGTCTGTAAGAAGCAGTCTGTGTTATTAACTGCTTAACCATCTTTATAGCTCCCAACTTAGTGGGTTTGTAGACCATTATTTTGGAGACCTAGGCTTTCCTTTTTCTGTATAATCAATGCAGGGAGGACAAGCAGTAGAGAGTACTTAGAGGGGAAGAGAGCAGAGTACTGAAGGGATCCAGGAAAGTTCTCTCCAAAAGAGAAGGTCATTGATTTATAACTACATACAAAGACAACTAACAGCACCCTTGTAGATTATGGGGCAAACTCAACTGTCAAGTTGTTAAAAAACCTTACAGATTATCTTCTTAATTTTATGGTTATGCCTAGGATTATGAGACCAATGATTCAATCCTCACTACTCACATGCCCACACACACATTCACACATATATAGAAACACTGTACTCCTTTTAATAGCCAAGAATCAAAACTTCCTACTTAACCCATACTGCTTCCCAATAGTAAAACAATACGGACTATACTATTTGTGTAGTCTGTGGCAGCCAAATTGAAAAAAAGGAAAAAGTATGATTGGACAAGCCTGCAATCCCAGCAAAAATAAAGAATGGTTGTTGTACACCTGTAATCTCTGCCCTTGGGAGGCTGAGATAGGAGGATCATAAAGTTAAGGTCAATTTAGGCTATATAGTAAGTCTCTGTCTCAAAAGTATGGAATCTATGTGACTTCAAGACCAGTCTGGTCTACAGAGCAAGTGCCTGGACAGGCTCCAAAGCTACATAGAGAAACTGTCTTGAAAAAAGCAAAACAAACACCCCTCCAAAAGGTTCTGTTAGCGTCTCTATATGTGTGTGTGTGTGTGTGTGTGTGTGTGTGTGTGTGTGTGTGTTTGGAGATCAAATATCAAACTAGGGAAAGAAGAAATGTTACCAGTGTAGCTTAACAGGGAAAGGAAGAAGATAGTTGAAGGTTGGTAGAGCAAGTCTGAGGACAGTTAGAGCCACACAGAGAAACCCTGTCTCGATAAACGATAATGAAAAAAAAAAACAAAAAATAAAAAACAGGCCAGGCCAGACATTGGGGTGCATGCCTTTAATCCCAGCACTCGGGAGGCAGAAGCAGGCAGATCTCTGTGAGAGGCCAGCCTGGTCTACAAAGCTAGGTCCAGGTCCAGGACAGGCTTCAAAACAATACAGAGAAACCCTGTCTCGAAAAACCAAAACCAAAAAAAACAAAAACAAAAAACCCAAACCAAACCAAAAAAAAACCCAAAAAACCAAACAAAAAACCAAAAAACAAAACCCCAAACCAAAACCAAAACAAAGCAAAAACAAACCCCAAAATAAAGCAAAACAAAACAAATCCAAGTATTTCTGTCAGTATGGTACTCAGGTAAATGTTTAGGGCAAGGGAAAGGGCAAGTCTATCTATCAAAGCAAAGTGTCCAATTTATTTTTTGATCAATTTCTATTACTTGAATTACTCTTTCCAATTTTTTCTTTTCTTTCTTTCTTTTTTTTGAGACAGGGTTTCTCTGTGTAGACTTGGTTGTCTTGCAACTGTCTCTGTATACTAGGCTGGCCTCAAACTCAGAGATCTACCTGCTTCTACCTCCCAAGTGTGGAACCTCCAATTGTGGCGCCAGCGCCACAAGCAACTCCAAGGTATCAGGAAAAGAGAGACAAGACATCCATTTGTTTGTATTAAGAGAATGCATGTGCTGCCTTTATTGCCAGGAGAGAGAGTGTGTGTGTGTGTGTGTCTGTCTTCATTACAAGTGCTAAGAGGTCTCTCCCTTGTAGGAGGGAGGAGCTTTTTATACAGGTTTACAGCACAGTGGAAAAAACCCCAGGTAGGAGAGATCTTGTTTTCCTCCTGCTGGATGTTGATGTCAGAGGGTCAAGGCCAGGGCAGTAAGCCAGGACTAGAAAACAGAAAGCACTAGGACTGGAAAACAAGTTGCCCTTGTAGGCTGACCAGCAACTCACAGAGACCCCATGGGGCTGGGGCCCAACACCCAAGTGCCATCACTACCTGGCCTATGTGTGTTTCAGTAGCTTAGTTTTTCATATTAGAATTTTTTTTTTTTGGTTTTTCGAGACAGGGTTTCTCTGTGGCTTTGGAGGCTGTCCTGGAACTAGCTCTTGTAGACCAGGCTGGCCTCAAACTCACAGAGATCCGCCTGCCTCTGCCTCCCGAGTGCTGGGATTAAAGGCGTGCGCCACCAACGCCCGGCGCTTGATGGTTTTTTTCTTGGTTTTGAGACAAGGTCTCAAACAGCCCAGGCTACTCTCCAACCCGGGCTGTCACTGATGATGACTTTGAACTTCTGATCCTCCTGTTTCCACCTCTCTCTTTTTTTTTTTTTAAGATTTACTTATTTATTTATGTATTTTATACATATGGATACTTTGTCTGCATGTACATCTGCATGCCAGAATAGAGTACCAAACAGTTGTGAACTGCCATGTGGGTTCTGGGAATTGAACTCGGGACCTTTGGAAGAGCAATAAGTGCTCTTAACCACTGAGCTATCTCTCCAGCCCCCTGTTTCCACCTCTTAAATGTTGGGATTATAGGTGTGTGTCACCATGTTTGATTTATGCAGTGCTGGGAGACTGAATTTAGTCCTTTGCAAATACTATGTAAACACTCATCCTTCTTTTCTTAATTTATTTTTGAGACAGGGTTTCTCTATATAGCCCTGGCTGTCCTGGAACTCACTTTATAGACCAAGCTGGCCTTGAGCTCACAGAGATCCACCTGCCTCTGCCTCCTGAGTGCTGGGATTGCAGGTCTGTGCCACAAGGCCCAGATAAACTATATTCATTTTTTAATATATACATGAAAGGAGATAGTCAGCAGTTTTCAGATATTCCAGGGCAGTTCTATTATTCAGGACTGCTTAACTCTACCACCTGCCCTATTTCTCCATGACTTCTAATAACTCCATAACTTTAGTGGGGCAAAGAACAAAGGGCAATTCAAAGTTTCCTTAAGGAATTGCTAATCTTTTAGGCATTGTAATGGTATATTGGTTTTTCTTTTTTCCTTTTTTAGAAGAGCTAACAGGTGTGAAGACAAATATCATTAATAGCAGCATTAGGGAGTCTGAGGCAGGATGATCATGTGTGTTCCAGGCTAGCGTTGGACTACATGGTGAGATCTTACCTTAGATAAATAAGTAAGTTTGTTGTTTTTGACTTAAAATGACATACTAATAGGATAGTATGTGAACTAATAGGATATATAATGTGTAAAATAATGTGGAGAGGAAATGTATGCAAGTGCAGATGACAAAAAAATCTGCTATGACTTTGTAACTGACAAGCCTGGTACATGAAGTTTCACAATTAAATGTTTAGTATTATATACATTTGGAATTTGTCACAAATAAAAGGAGAAATAACATTATTAAAACATTATTTTTTTAAAAAGTGTTTTTTTTTCTCCTGGTTTTTAGGACAGGGTTTTTCTGTGTAGTCCTGGCTGCCCTGGAACTCACTCTGCACACCAAGCTGGCCTCGACCCCAGAGACCTGCCTGCCTCTGCCTTCCAAGCGCTGGTTGGTTATTTTATTTTATATGTATGAGTTTTCTGTCTGCATGTATGTCTGTGCACAATGTGCATGCTTGGTGCCCAAAGAGGCCAGAAGATGGCACTGGATCCCCTGGAACTGGAATACTTTGTGAGTTATCATGTGGTGCTGGGAATTGAACCTAGGTCCTCTGCAAGAGTAAGTACTTTTAGCCAGGCAGTGGTGGTGGTGCACGCCTTTAATCCCAGCACTTGGGAGGTAGAGGCAGGCGGATCTCTGTGAGTTTGAGACCAGCCTGGTCTACAAGAGCTAGTTCCAGAACAGCCTCCAAAGACACAGAGAAACCCTGTTTCCAAAAACCAAAAAAAAAAAAAAAAAAAAGAGTAAGTACTTTTAACTGCTGAGCCAACTCTCCAGCCCTGAATATGACTTTTAAAAAATTCTTAAAAATCAAAAGACAGGTTCAAAATGTGCATGTCCTTCATTTTGTTTGATGTTTGGAGACAGGGTCTCCAGGAAACCTGACTGCCCTCTAACTCACTGGATAGTTGAGGCTGACCTTGAACTCATGATTCTTCTGTTACTATATCTTGAGGGCTTCAACTATGGGCAAGTGTTTCCAAGTGCTGGGGATTGACCCCAGGGCTTCTAGCGTTCTATATAAGCAATTTACCAATCCTAGTTCCTCCTTAGCCATTTCCAAAAACCTATTATATTTTAATTATTTTAAAAAATGGAATGCTTTATGAACTTGTGTATCATCGTTGTATAGGGGCCATGCTAATTTTCTTCACATTGTTTCAATTTTAGTATATGTGCTGCCAAGATGAGAACTAAAATTCCCAAGTCACAAGACTCCTTAAAGTTCTTCAGGTAAGAGTTTATCCTTTATCTACTAGACATACACTAACAGGCACAAAGAGAAAGGAAAGGTACTTTATGCTTGGCCTGTGCAGTGGTGTCCTACTGAACCCCATACAGCCTTTTGTATTGTTTATATTAGTACTTTAAATTTTCTTTTTAAATTACTCTTGTGCATAGGTCATTGTGGGCATGAATATGCCACAGTGTGTGTGTGTGTGTGTAGGTCATAGGACAATTTGTGGGATTCCGTTTTCTGCTTTCACCAACGGATCTGGGGATGGAACTCAGGTTGTCTCCTCAAATGTTTTTACCTACCGACCCTTTTTCCCTGCCCCACATTCATTTTCCTATGTATATGTTAAAGGTTTTGGATTATAAATGTTCTTTCTCCATACTCCTTATACAACTAAGTTGAGAGTCTGATTATTAATTCCCTTTAATTTGTTTTTATGCCCTCCCAATGTTCATGACACATGAGGATGTCATGAAGCTGAGAAGAATGACTGGTCTAGTTGGATCCACCCACGTTGACATACCTGTGCCTTGTCAGTTGGGTTACAGTTCTCTCCTAGACGAACTTTAACGTATATAACTTGCATGCTCCAGAGTTCTTGTCATTTGCTGGTTTCTTTCTCTATGATTTTCACACACAACACTGGATATTTCTTATAAATTATAGAGGGCTCAAAATAAAAGGTTGGTTTTCTTGTTGTTTTACATGAGTGTTTTTTCTTTTATTTTATATGTTCAGGTTTATGTTCACATGTGGGAGTCTGCACATGTGTGCGGAGGGTGACATCCCACCTGATTTTTAGCTGGGCCCTGGGGCATCAAACTCAGATCCTGGTGTTTCAGAGCAAGCACTTTACCTACTTTCCCTAGTTCCTCAGAACAAATTTTCAACATTTTTACCTTTTTAAATTTTAGAAGGCATTTTGGCCTGGTGGTGGTAGAGACAGTGGTGTATGCCTTTAATCCCTGTACTCAGGAGGCAGAGGCAGGCTGATCTCAGTGAGTTAGAGGCCAGCTTTGCCTATAAAGTGAGTTCCAGGACAATGGGGCAGTTACACAGAGAAACTCTGTGTTGAAAAATAAAACAAACAAACAAAAAAGTCATTTTGTTTTCTCCTCAGTAGCAGTATTTTTGGAACGTTTCTTCCAGTAAGCTTATTTGCAGAATTGTTTAAAGTAACACTAATTTTCCTGCAGCGATTGAAACAAATGTTTCCATTTTGAAAATGTCTGCTGGAAAAACAGATTTGTAATTCAGATGAACAGAGAGATTGTTAGATTGTACTCTGTGAGTTCAAGGCTAGCCCAGTCTACAGAGCAGTTCCAGGACAGCCTCCAAAACAATAGAGAAACCCTGTCTTGAAAAACCAAAAAAAAAAAAAAAAAAAAAAAGAAGAAGAAGAAAAAAAGAGATAAATTTAAAAATTTTTGAGTTAGACTGGCAGTGGTGGTACACATCTTTAAGCTCAGCACTCAGGAGGCAGATCTCTATGAGTTCAAGGCCAGCCTGGTCTACAAAGTGAGTTTCAGGACAGCCAGGGGTGTTATACAGAGAAACCCTGTCTGGAAAAACAAAATAAAACAAAAAACAAAACTTTTGAGTTGCCCAGCTAGCCCTTGAATTTGTGATCCTCATTCCACAGTCATCCAAGGCTGGGATTACAGACCTATGTCACAATCCAAGTTTCTCTTGCTTATTATTTATTTATTTTTAAGTTTATTTATTACATATACAGTGTTCTGCCTACATGCCAAAAGAGGGCACATGATTTAATTGTAGATGGTTGTGAGCCACCATGTGATTGCTGGGAATTGAACTCAGGACCTCTGGAAAAACAGCCAGTGCTCTTAACCTCTAAGCCATCTCTCCAGCCCCTTATTCATTTTTTGAGTCAGGGTTTCTCTATGAAGCTCTGTTGGCTTGTAATTCACTTTATAGATCAGGTTGTCTTGAACTGAAGAGACCCACCTGCCTCTGCCTCCAGAGTTCTGATGTTAAAGGTGGGCATTACTGTGTCAGGCTTATTAATTATTATTATTATTATTTTGGTCTTACGAGACAGGGTTTCTCTGTATTGTTTTGGAGGCTGTCGGACCAGCCTGGCCTCGAACTCACAGAGATCCGCCTGCCTCTGCCTCCTGAGTGCAGGGAGTAAAGGCGTGTGCCACCACCGCCCGGCTTATTAATTATTTTAAGATAGGTTCTTACTATGTGCACCGTGCTGGCCTCAAATTTGTGGCAATCCTCCTGCTTCTGTCTTCTCACTGTTAGGATTACAGATGTGAGCCACCAGACCGTTTAGTACTATTATCATAATTTTAAAAACTGATGTATCCGAGGCTGGCAGAGAACTTCTGATTCTCCTGCCCCAAGTAGCTTGGGCAATGAGCCACTTCTGTTTGGCTACTAGGTTTATTTTATACTGATACTGAGGCCAAAAAGAGATATGGTCATTTAGTCAAGGTCATACTCCTGGCCAGCGGTGACATCAGGATGCTAACTCTGTAGCTTCATATGCTGCAAGGTACAATATCTACCTTCATAAAAGAAAGTAATAAAATCAGTTAAGCCTGAGTTTGTATTTTGGGAGAAAACACAAGTGACTAATGAAGTAATTTCATTCAATACTTCTTATAAAGATAATATTCTATATTTAATTATTCGGAGCCCCAAACCTACCCATTTAAAAATCAAGTGTTTCTTTGTGAAATAAACTGACAAAAACCTCCCAGACTTGTCATCAATATTTCAATTCATAATTTAATAAAATACAGACGTGCCTTGTAGGGATAATGTTCCAGATCTTTCTGTGGACGTCAGTTTCCAGAATCTCTGATGTGTTCGTGTGACTAAGGAAAAGAATAGCTGAATCACATCTACGGGCGATTCCTTCCAATTAAAAATCTATAACAGAAAGGAAGACATGGCAGTTCATCTGTCTTTTAACCTCAACAGCTCTTCAGTCCAAGCCCACCAATTTACTACCGTTGTTTTGGGTGGGGATGGAGAATAATCCCACAGGATACAGGCAGAAAGGGAACAGCCTGGCCTGGCTCGATCCAGCCAGGGCAGGGACGCTTGTGCAGCAGGGACCCGCTGTCTGCCTGGACCGAGGAGCGAGGGCCAAAACAGAGCCAGAGCTGGTGTTGGGACCCAACAGTCAGACAAGAGTCTAGGGCAAAAGGGGTTCTCCCCAAGGGTACGGAGGGCAGGGAGTGAGAAAACCCGCGTCCGCGGGGCAAGCCCGGCCACGGGCCGGGGTACAGAATCCAGGCCACCCTGCGGAAGAGCGCGCGGCCCAGCCCTCGCATGCGCCTCAGCACCTCCGCTCCCCTCCCTCTTCCTGGCGGGTCTGGGGCGGCGGCAGCGCGGTGACGTCAGGGCGTTGGGGCAGCTCCTGTGACAGACGGAGCTGGAGCGGCGGGGCGGCGGCGGAGTCCGGCGGCGGAGATAGCGAGTGAGGGAGCGAACGAGCAGCGACCCGAGGGTCCAGGGAGCGAGGAGGAGCCGGAGGGGAGTGCTCGGGCGCGAGCGAGAGGACGCGCGAGCGCCGGGCTAGGGCTCGAGCCCCGGAACGGCTGAGGAGCCCACCCGCGGCCCTCCCCTCCCCCTCCCCGGGACCGGGCCCAGCGCGCCATCCTCCCCCTCCCTCCCTCCCTCCCTCCTTCCTCCCTTCCCTCTCCCTCCCCCTCTCCCGCCGGTGGATGGGAGTGAAGGACGGAAGAGGCCCTGCGGAGGCGGCGGTGCAGCGCTCCGGTAAGGCGGCGACGCTCTGCGCCCTCCCCTCTGTCTCCTCCACCGCGCTCGGGCGGCTGCGGGCCGGGCCGGCCGCCTGACGATGTGGCTGCGCCGGTCCCCTCCCTCCCATTCTCCCCTCCCCCTGCCGCCGCTGCCTCCTCCTTCTTCTTCTCCTCTCCTCGCTCTCAAAATGGCGGCCGCGACGGCCGTTGAGTGAGAGGCACCGAGGAGGGGGGCCTGGCTGGGGAGGGCGCTGCCCTGGCTCTGGTCCTCGGGCCTGGGCTGCGGGCTACCCGGGCCGGCGCAGCTTCACCCGAGGCCTCTCGGGCAGCATCGCCCTCCTGCCGCCGTGACTTAGCAAGAAAAGTATTCTTGGGTGGGAAGGGCGTGGGGAGCAGGTCGCTCTCTGATCTTGGGGAAAGGGCCCAGCCCTCCTGGGCCGCGGAAGCGAGCCCCGCAGTCCCCACCCCTCCGCGATCTGGCGGCTCTCCGCCGGGGCCCCTGCAGCCACCAGGCCTTCCTGGGGGCCGGTTCCCCACCTGTGCTTAGGTTGGGGGTCGACCTGAGGAGGATGGCTCATTTCCTGGGCCCTTGGACCCCCGGTGCGGTGGTGGTTCAGCCTCTGCCCTCTGTAAAAGATCTGCAGCACCCACCGTCCAAATCGGGCAGGATTTTCCTTTTTGCCACTAGCTCCTTGCACGGGAGTTGCCTTTTGACGTTGCTAACTAACACTGAGCTCCGAGGCACTCTGCCATTCCCTTCATCCCATCTCCACTCCATTAGGAAACGCTGTGACTATTTATTTACCCTCTCTAGCCTTCTAGGTGAGAAAATGTTTTTGAGATCGTGGGCTTATTTTTGCTACCTCTACAAACACAGCCAGGAGGAGAGATTTTCAATGTCTTGATGAGAGAAAGCAAGGTGCCTGGCTTTATTTGTTATTCTGCTTTTTTTTTTTTTTTCAGTGACTTAGCAAGAAACTCCTTGGGAGGAGGGCAGGAAATTTTTCGTTGAAGTTGGGATTGGATCTAATTCCTATCAGTCCTTTGGTTAAGAAATTGTGCTTGAAGAGGAGTACCAGATTTGTGGTCTCATTTTCAATGGGCGATGTCATGCCAAGGAACTCCCCTCCCCCTTTTCTTAGGAGGCAATTGCGAGAAAATAAAAATATTACTGTTTTTCTGGCCTTTAGCTTCAAGCACATACTCCTTAAGATTCACAACCTTTAAAAGATCCAGCAACAGAAGGGTCATTTTAGCAATTCTCTTTTTGTTGTGGGCGGGTTGTTTGTGTGAATTTCTTTTCTGGGGGTGGGATCTTGGCGAGACCTTGTTTGGGCCTTCATACCTATAATACTGTCTTCCCTCTTCATTTTGCCACAGCAGTGTTTGCTTAGTATCTCCCCCCTTGCAGTAAGACTTGATTGCTGCAGGATTCAATCCCATAATCAGGAATATTTTTAGTTGGGTACGCCAGTAATACGTTGAATATACATTAAAAGCTTTAACTTTAAAAATTGGTTTGGTTTTAACTAGCTTTGATTTCTAATGGATGTCTTTCAGGACATAGTTCTGCAACATAATTGGCAGTTACAAATTGCGGTTTTTATTAAAGCAGAATATGTATTTAGGGTAATTTATTCTTTCTTGGTCTATTTAAAAGATCATTGTTTGGTTTCAGAGGGAAGGATTTCCTGCAATAAATTTAAAGCTGGTGTATATGTATATAATTTTAAATCAGAGAAAGGAACCCAGCTTCTCACAGAATATTTCTACATATGTTGGTTTTGATGGAGCACACCCTGTTTTGGTACATCCTCCCACCTCTTTAAAAATGGGTTAATATTTGTGGATGCTTTGAACAGCCATTGAGCCGGGAGGACTGGGTGGAGTAAGGGATCGACAGCAGAAGCTGTGAAATGCTCTGATGGCCCTTTCATCGCATTTTCTTCATCCTTAGGATTTGTAAGGTTATTTGATAATAATAGTAGCTACAACAAAGGCGTTTCTCTGTTGTAGATCTTAAAAGTCTCAGGTTTTCCACCTTTTTTTTCCTTCAAGAAGGGCATTGAATAATTGGAATAAAAGCATCCCTGCTCTAATACAAGTACTTATTGTTCACCTGTGAGTGTGTATAAAAGACATGTACACATATGCTCTGGTTAATGTTTTTTAATTATTTCAGCCAAATGAGTGTTAACTACTGCCAAGAATATTTGGCAACAAAAAGCATGGAATATTGCAAAAAAAATCTAGTTAAAGATACTTGCTTTTAATTTTTTTCTTAATGAACATCAAAGATGAGAAAATAGTGGGTTTTTTTGTCAAGAGCTCTTTAAATAAACCTTTTCTCTTGTGTTGCTGCTTTCATAGGACTTCTTGTGTGAGAAAAGCGTAGTTCACTTTAGTGTCTTGTGTTCCTTAAAGAATTTTGAATTTGGCAAATATAATTTTGATGAACCCTATGTTTGTAATTTAGGATATATTTCTACAATTTTGTTTAATGTAGTTAGAAAGTAGAAAGGCTATTATGGTGATGGTTGAGTGCATTGGGATTAGTGTTTCACTATATTGTGTCTATATATATATATATACATATACATATTTATATGTCCCTATTCCTACCATTTCTAGTTAATGGTGAATCTACACTCCACCTCTTCCCAGGAGGTTACTGAGAATTTGTTGGAGAGTATGTGTGTGTGCTTATGTTTCTGGTATGTGTCAGAATCTTGCTTAGTTTGAAGAAATCAGTTTTAAAAATTATTTACAATCCTATATTTATAAAAACTTGAAGTTGGGATGAATTTCTTTTTTTTCACTCATTCATTTCATGAGTGCTTGTGTGCACCAGCTTACCTTACGGTCCTGTGGATTGAACTCAAGTTAGATTTGGTAGCAAGCATCTTTACCACTGAGCTATCTTGCCATCTTTTAAGATGGGGTCTTACTGTAGCCCAGAGTAGGCTTGAATTTGCTGTAATCCTGACCTTGAGCTCCTTGGTGGTTATCTTCCAACTCTGCAAGTACTGGGGTTACAGGACACTATGTAGCCTTAACTGGCTTGATATTTACTCCTTATGTATCCTAATTGGGCCTTTAACTACCTCTTTCTGCCTTAGAAGCCTTCTAAGTGTTGTAAAACAAGTGTGTGCTACCATACCGCTTTCTGTAGTATTTGGTATATATTTTTAAGTTATGTTATTTACATAACTTTCTGGATAAAATATCTCTAGCATGAAAACTGTTTCTGGGAATGAAGAGTCAATATCTCATAATTGTAGGTTTTCTAGTTCAGAACATCCATGTTGTATTTAAGAAAAGGAACTGGCGCATGCCTTTAATTCCAGCACTTGGGGGACAAACAGGCTGATCTCTTGAGTTCCAGGCCAGCCTATTTAACAACCAAGTTCCAAGACAGCAAGACTACAGAGAAACCCTGACTTGGAAAACCAAGGGGGGATGGGGATGGGAAAGTAGGGCTGGTGAGATGGTTTGGCTGCTAAACTTGACAACATGAGTTTGATCCTCAGTACCCACATGGTAAACAGAACCATCTCCCATAATTTATCCTCTGTTTAGCACATGTACATAATAATAAAAAAGGAAAGTAAATGTTACTGTCTTGGATTATATACAAAGCTTTCAAGAGTAGGATTCTGTCCTTCCACTGTGAGCCCCAAGGATCAAAATCAGGTTGACAGGCTTGGTGGCAAGCACCTTCAGCTTCTGAGCCGCTATCGTAAGTCCATCCCTGCACCATGGAGGCATAGAGGCAGGTGCTTCTTTGTGAGGTCAAGGCCAGCCTGCTCTTCATAGTGACCATCAGGCTTGCCAAGGACACATAATGAGACCCCCCTGCTTCAAACAAATAAACCCCCCTCCCCCCAAAAAAACGACTAAAATTAAAATAAAAACAAGTGCAAAGCAAAAATATACAAATTGAATGTTCAGTTCTGAAGTTGTGATACAGTTTCCCCCACCTTTTTGTTTTTATTTTATAAAGTTAGCTGACTTTAAATGAAGCTGGTTGTATGGCTGTATCTGATTTATGGTCCTAAAAGTGGCTGGAACTCAAGACTCTCCTGTTGGATGTTCTCCACTACTAAACTACACCTGGACAGAATTTTTACTTGCTTCTAATAGAAATCTCTGTTGCAGGGTGTGGTGGTGCATGCCTTTAATTCAGGCATTCATTTGGGAGGCAGAAGCAGGTGGGTCTCATTTTATTTAGAGACTAGCCTAGTCTAGAACAGCCAGGGCTACACAGCGAAGCCCTGTCTCAAAAAACCCAAAACAAAAACCCAGGACATTATGAAGTCTAAGCATGTGCTTTTATCACTGAGGTGCACTTCCCAGGCCAAATAATTTTAACTTTTGAAAGCATTATAAAAAGCTTTATGTTTGAAGCCAGCACAGTGGCTCAACTAAAGGCATTTACTGTGCAAGCCTAATGACCTGAATTGGATCCCCAGAACCCACATGCAATGATAGAACCATTTCATACAGTTGTTTTCTCTGATCTTTGCAGCTGCACCAAGGCATCTGGGCCCACATGCATATATCATTTTTTAGGCAGGCATACAATAATAAAACAAAGTTTATGATATGTACATTGTGAATAGGTGGAATTTACAACAGGTGGCTATGGTGTGTGTGTGTGTTTTGTTTTTAACGTTGGGAATTGATTCTGGAGCCTTGGGCATAGGATCCTAGGCAAAATGTTCTGTTACTGAGCAGTATCTCTTCTAGCCTAGTTATTTTTTAAAAATTCTCTTTAACTTAATTTACTGTTAAAGTAGGGCTTTACTGTGTGTTCCTAGCTGGTCTTGAACTCTTTGAGATTGGTCTTCCTCTGTCTCTTGAGTGCTAGGATTATTGATGTGTGTCACCATGCCTAATATTTTATACATAAGGTCAGTCTTCCTCAGTCTCCCCCCCCCCCATGTAGGAAGGAGTGGGCTGTGAACTCATAGATACCCACTTGCTTTTGCCTTCCAAGCACTGGTACTCAAGGTGCATGTCACCATGCCTGGCCTACATCTAGTTCTTGAAACCCTGCCTCAGTCTCCTGTTGCTGGGGTTGTGGGCTCAAGTACTACCCTGTCTGGTAATTTTAAATTAAATTAAAATACAGGGTCTCATGTAGCCCAGACTGACCTGGAACTAGTGGAGGATGCCTTTGAACTTCTGATCCTTTTGCCTTTTCCCCCCTTCTTCCCAGTGTTGGTCATTCAACTTAGTGTCTCTCACAGACTAAGCAAGCTGTGTATTATTGGGTCACCCACCCATCCTCTGCCAAGCCCTTAAAGGATATCTTCTAGTTATACATTTTTTCTTGTTTTTATTTTATCAAGAATATGATGATACCAGTCATAGGAATGGCAACACTAGATTGGAATACCTGGCAAGACCCTATCTCAAAACAAAACAAAACAAAAAAAAAAGGGTGAAAATGAGGCTGATAATTTGGAATTTCTTGATCCCCACCTCCAAACTAGGGGAATTGAACCTAGGATCTTACACATATTAGGTGAGTGAGCCACTGATGAGCTAGACATAGCTCCAACCCTGTTTTTACATTTATTCACCTACTTGTTTGTTTATTTTGTGTATATGCACAAGTATCATGGTGTGCATGTGGAGGTCAGGAAACTGCTTATAGGAGACTGTTCTCTCCTACCCTGTGGATTCAAGACTTGGTGACAAGTGCTTTATCCTTTGAGAGCTTCCTTGGCCTCCAGTCCTCTTTTTGTTTCTAGATAGACTCTCACTACTCAA